GTTCTTTGTCAAGCATTTTGAGCAACGAAGCCTCCTTGCGAGCAACAATGATTTCATCGAGATCTGATGAGACCAAATATCTTGTATGACCACGACTTCGCAGTACGCAGTCATTGATCGAGGTAACAACCTGGAATGATGGGCATTGGAAAATTCTTTGGGTTAGCTTGCTGAAGAGCATCATGAATATTATTTATGTGACAATTAATACCGTAAAAAAGAATGTAGTTGTTTTTTCCGTATAAGTTTCTGGTAGCACCAAACTAGTGTTCACACTGGAAAATGAATCGAAACAAAAGTGGCATTATTAAGTATACGCGGGCGTGCGCGAATGCAGATTTTAATCTGTTTGTATGGTTCAAGAGAAAGGAACAACTGCATAAAATTTCAGCTTTCTGGCTTCTACCGTTGCTGAATCGGATGTGGATGCCAAAAATCCGTACACACATACACAGGCTACACATTGGCAGCGCCGTGCCAATATGCGCGCTTGCGTTTGCGTAAAAATACAAAAACACATAAAAATATATATAATTGAGTCTCACGAAATTGCAACGTGGCACATCGTTGTGACGTACGAATGGCAACAGAGTAGGCAGTGTCGAAGCACGACGGGGCCACTTGGTGCAGTCCAAGTAGGCAAGCAAAATAAAAATTGAAGTAATACCTCTGTCCTATAAATCCTTAAATTGGGATCGTTATCGTCCAGAATGTCACCTGTCGTTGGCAGCGGCGCCCAGTTGACACGCTCGACATCCACTTCGGCAGATTTCTCATAAACCCACAATAATGCATTCACTTCAGGTGCCATCGAATGAACGTATATGTAAAACTTTGTTACACCCTGAGCTATCCAGAACTGCAATTGAAATCCAGTTGTAATGCATAAAATTGCAAACAGAAGCTGAATTATGCTGTCGAGCATTGGCATACCAGAACCTCCCATCTACAGCTGTATTCGAAACGTTTATACTTGTATGCAACACTTCCTTGGAACTTTTCGAGTAGCTGCTTTCTTTTCCAAAACATTGGATGTTGCCAGCAAAACAATCAGCATGTTACCCATCCGATTTTACTTTCTTGCGTGTTCGTAGTAAAACTCCGTGTATTTCTCTTTTGATGCTCGATTGTTTATTTGGTCACGAAGAGATGCTCTGAGCATTCTTTGCTTCGTCGCGCCTTCTCTTACAGTGACGTTCTCGTTCCTTTTTTACTAACCACGTTTTGTATTTGTTTTTTTTTTAATTTTCCATACTTTTTTTACTAAAATGCTTCCGATCGGTACGGTAACGTAAATGAAACATTGCAGTTCAAATTGGTTTTTAGCTAGTTTCTTTTTCTTCCAGAATGCTGAGCCTTACTGAGTAGGAAAAACAATAGCCGTTACTTTCTGCTTACCTCGAAAAACTGCACCAATAGAGTCCAGTCGGCCAAAAAAAAAATTGGTTGCAGGCAAACGGCCAGCTTATGCTTTCGCGGTCCGTACGGTAACACACGT